CAATCCAGAGGTGTCGATTTGGTGATGGGGAGGAAGGTGTGTGTGTGTGTGTGTGTGTGTGTGTGTGTGTGTGTGTGTGTGTGTGTGGAGGGGGTACTCGAGCTTGCGGCTTGAGCTGCAAGCTTTGAGCACCTCCACACACACAAACGCACGCACACACGCGCTCGCGCGCGCATTTCTCCCGCTTTGAGCCTGACGTGACGTGCTCGCTCACAAACTTTTGACCATTACATCATTGCTTTAAAATAGCCAAGTCGGTCCCGGAGAAAATTACATTTTACGCACGGTGACATCAGCTGCCGCTTGAAAAGACGCAGCAGACTATGGCTGGAGGTTTGAGAAACTAAAATAAATCTTGACTCTAGAGGTTTGATTTTATTTAAAATACATTCGCTTTCAAAAGAAAATCACACCACACTGGTTAATTTCTTCTTGAAGTGGCAAAACTTAAATGAGATATCCAAATCTCCCGTGACTTTAGTTGCACTACCTGAAATATCCGCTGTACTTTTCAGAGCATTACATCATTGTCTAGTCAGATAAATGAACTCATATTCAACTCCCTGAAAGTGCACATGCCTTCTGTGATAGACAACTGGATAAATGAATTAACAACTGGTTTTGTGCTTACCAGTTTGAAGTGAGACTAATAAAAAAAAGTGAGAATGCCATGAAGGATGTGGAGGGCTTTCCTACCTGCAATCACCGTGGGCGATCGTTGCCCTCCCTCCGGCTTGATCCACAGCTCCAGAGAGAAATTGCCCCTGGGAATCTCCACGCCGGGCTTAAGCCGGAGCTGGTCTCCCCTGCCGGTGAAATAGACCGCTCTGCCCCGGTGCGGAGAAGTGTCCTCGGCGTGAGAGGAGCGCCGGCGCTGGCGGAGCACCCGGCGCTCTGAGCCGGGTAAAGAGCGCTTGACCCGGGGCAGACGCGTGGCACAAGCCCCCGGGGTGGTGGCTCTCGCCTCCCTCAGGCGCACCAGCTCCCTCTTGGATCTCCCCTTCCTCCGGACTGTCCCGCACTCTGATCCAAAACACAGGATGAGGAGAATCACCAGGCAAGACACCCAGGGTGATGTCCAAAGTTTCATTTTTCGGAAGAAGAAAGAACCCCCACAAAATAAAAAAAAAAAAAAAAAAAAAAATATTTCAAACGTGAGGAAAAAAAGTAAAAAAAAAAATAAAAATAAATTAAATAAAAAAACTGGAAAACTGAAACATATGTCCAAAAATATTCGTCTCTTTGGGATCCTCTTCAGTTTTCCTTTCTGTCCTTTTTTTTTTTTTTTACAGCAGCAGAATGTCAAACCGTATAAACTGTCTAAATAAACCCATAAAGCTATGCTGTTTTCCCCTCTTTATATTGCTAAGCCACGACCCCCTCTCTTAAGCAAAACTACTCTGGAGACATTCAGGGGACACAGGAATATTTCATTCATGTATGTGTTCCACGGTGCCTTTTCAGTGGGTCCCATTTAGCCAAAGGGATGACTAATAACTAATCAATCAAGAGGGGGGTCCGGCCGATGCCCCCCCTTCAATCCATGTGGACAGTCTAGGAGTTACTCGCAGAAATCCACAGCTGTCCGCCAACCTCTTGTCACACCTTTTTGTTGCTTCCTTATCCAACTAGTGAAGCAGCACAAGAAATGGCACGCAGCCTAATAAATCCCAAAGAAAAGTGACAGCAAAGCGACCTGTCATATTTATTACAAAGAAGTTCAAAAAAAGGAAAAAAAAATCCAAAAAAAAAAAAGTTATCCTTTAAAGCCTGTGTGCGGTTGTATTAGAAAAGAAAAAAAAAGACAATCATAAAAAGTTGAAATGCACTATAGGATGTGTGGTAAGGCGCAGGAGGGACAGAGCTGCGGTCCTCTCTGACTGCCTGAAGCAGATCTTCTCCTGGAGGAGTCGGAGCTCACCGTCCGCCTCACACACGCACACGCACACACACACACATATATATATAAACACGCACGCACACACACAGGCATGCAGCTAAAAGTCTTTAGACGAACAAAGTCATGTTTCAAATGTTCCGGGGCTCTCAGTTTGCGTGTGTTTATAGTGGGAAGTCACACAGGTAGGCAACTCTTCCTGACCGCTGCTCTCTCAGCGGTGCGCACTGATAGCGCGGTGTTTACAGACTTCGGAGGGCGCATGTGTGTCCCTCTAGCGGTTACACTTAAAACAATCCAACACTTGCACAAGTCCCACAGGCTCCTTTCTTACTGAGTGACTGAAGTCTGCAGAGAGAGAGAGAGAGAGAGGGGAGCAGTCCAGTCCGGCTCGGTCCGTCAGAAATGTCCTTAATGTTAATTGTGTGGATGCTGATTCAGCAGGAACACTTCACATTTCCTGTTTGTTTTGCAAATCAAAGAACTTCTGCAAAGTTCATCCAGGAGAGGATTTTTGGTTTTTGTAACATTCATCATTAAAAAAAAAAAAAATAAAATAAATAAATAAATAAATAAATAAATAAATAAATTTGCAGTTTATTCTGAAAGATCTATTCAGTTTTGTAAAAAAAAAAAAAAATCCCTAAATATTATTGTTGTCCATTGGCCTTCTGCAGTACTTTTGGATTCATCCCATTCATATGGTTTTCAGCTTTCCTACTGAGATTTTTTGCAAGCCTTTCGCCAATTCAGCTTTCGCCTCTTTTACGTTCAGCCTTCAACTTTTTTTATATTTTAGCTATATTTTGCATATTTTGAACAGCGTTTTGTTTTATCGTTTGACTTTTATTTTAGCTTGAGATTAGCTTGTTTTAGCTTTTAGTATCATTTTAGGTTTTGGTTGCCCAAACATTTTCCCTGAGAGGGCCAAAATTAAAATCAATCTGAGTGTCGTGGGCCAAATGCAATAATATAAGAAATGTAAATACTTCTTAAGTAAAGTTGTTTTATTTTTTAATGATAAAGCTAAAAGCCAGAGTGTTTGCCCACATTTTTTTTTCTTTCAGCCCATGGACATGGAGAAAATTCAACTTATGCTCAGGCAGCAAATGCTCATGGGACTTTTCATCATTTAAAATTTGAGTGTATGGGGTCTTATAAGTTGTGCAAATTTAGATATGGACTTAAATCTGATCTAAATCTCTCTTGTAGTTACTTGTATTTTATATTCAGTTTTATTTAATCTTAACATAATTACAATCTAGTAAACAGGACAACTGCTGGTGGGCCAAATCAAATGGCTTGGCAGGCCAATTTTGGCCCACAGGTTCCACTTTGGGCACCTCTGTGTTATAATGTTCAGCTTCCTGCTTATTTATACCATTCTCCAGCTTTTACGTTATCTTGTGCATTTCTGCTTCATTATGCAAATAAGGTGGGCGGTCCGTCTTGGGTCAGCTCCTCTCCTATTGGTCAACATACAGGAAAGGGCAGGATCCACGTGCAGGTCAACTGCGCATGCTTGTGCTGCCTCTGTTTAGTTTAAAGTTTAGTTAAAAACAAAGGCTAGGAGGAAAACACAAACACTTACCTGTGCCTTTATTTTTAACTCAACTTTACATTTTAAACAAACATATGCGCAGTCGATCTGAAAAAGGTTTAGTTAAAAATAAGGGCACAAGTGTTTTCCTCCTCTAATTGGTGCGTTTTCAGTGTATTTATTTATCCATTGGTCCATTGATATATTTCTGCTTTTATTTTCTAATTATGTCAGTTTTGGTCCTCTGTTCATTTAAATATATGCATTTACCATGTTTAACTTTTTCCATCTTTTTTTGTCAAGTATTTCATGATTAAAGAAATAAAAAAAATAGAAGGCATTTGTCAGTTTCAGGTTGACTCACTCATTGCACACTGCTTTTGGATAGATGTGATGTTCAGAACCAACACACTTAACTAAGAAGTGCAAGTCTTTGAGCTTGGCGTCAAAGCCTTTAGAAATCTTGGCGGATGAGTGATTTGGGAGTAACTTTTGCTTGGTGTTAAAACGTAAAAGATTTTTGATACTCACAAATCAGAACACATTTCCATTCAGCAGCATCCAATCAGCTGGAATCACAGGGTTTCTATTCCTCCGGCTGTTTACTGCAAATGCAGTTCAGACGGCCAAAACCTGCCACCTACCATCAAGAGGAGAGGGAACAAACATTAAATATTTACTTTCTTCCTCATATGGGCCTGCGACTTTTTAGCTGCATATTTCTTTTTGTGTCCTTACGTGGTGGCGGGTGGGGGTGGGGAGGTGGGATTAATACCGTGAAAAGTGTTTGAAAGTGGTTGAGGGCACACTTTCGCACGGGCTCGAAATTTGAGTCTCTGCAAAGGAGACAGCAGAAACTTCTGAGACCAAAGTGTCACATCGCAGACGAACACACATCCTCCTGCCTGATAAGATTGTGTGATGACTTTTTCCTTCTTGTCAGTTGTTTGTTTGTCTCCGACACTTTTTAATCCCATCAATATCCTTTCACTGGGGTCACTCTTGAAACTTTTTCCATTAGCAAAATAGATAGAAAGATTTTTCAGTGTTGCAGGTCAGTTTTTCTACCCTAAAATGCTTTAAAAATGTATTACTCTATAGCTTATCAGATAACAAGTAAACTAAATGTTTAGTCTAGCACAAAGAGCTGTATCTGTAAGTGAAACTGTTTGGATCATCTGCATTAGGAGTCTGAATACATCCACGCTGCCTCTATTGCCACTCATTTCTGACCCTGAGAGATTAATATCTGTTCAGTCTAAAAGCTCAGCAAGGTGGATAAAACATGAGCATGGTTTTACTACAAATCAGCACACGAGTGGCAACTCTTCCGACTTTGTTTTTCTCGGTTTCGAGAGCAAATAGTATCAAACTCAAGCTTCTCAGGTTTATATTCATGATGCAAATGCTGCCGTTTCTTTAGTTTACAGAAAAGCAGTAATCCCACAACTGACTGGAAAGAAGTACGATTCAAAAAATAAAACTCGTCCTATAATCCATTAATGCATCTGTACTGAGTTAATCTGCACGGTGACCGTTTTCCAGCACAACCTAAACACGTTGTCTCATTTATCACAGATGATTTATAAAGTAAAATGCCTCTATTTAAATGTCCACCGTCATTGACATTAAAGTCATAGATGGAATAATGCTTATTAGGCTGACAGGAGTGACAAAAAGTAATTTAGAGATCAGGGAATAAAAAAAAGTGCCCGGATCTTTATTAGGCACCCACAACTCCTAAACCCATTGCCATTATAGAATACCCATTAAAGCGCTTAAGAGTATTATCCCATTCTACCAACAAACACATAGCAGCTCAAAGTTTCTGGGATTCCATGAAAAATTATATGCATGCACTTTCCAGTAAAAACAAGCACTGGGTGAGATGGAAGTGTTTTTTTTAACTTTACAGAGGAATATTGCAAATATTACAGAAAAATGTGTACATGTATGAATCAAGCCTGATCCCTTCTGACAGCTGTCAGTATTATGAATTTAGTGGGGAAGGGTAGGGTAGCATGTTCAGTGGGGTTGTGGCAGAGTATGTGATGGAAGTGACAAAATAAATTGATCTTTGGTTGAAGCTTTTTGATCAGATTATTGGCAGAATGACGCATTTAAGTCCATTACTAACTGGTTTGATGCATACAATCAGAGAGAACTAGAGTGATACTTTGTGGATGAAAATGAAGCCGTCAATCCTGAAATTTTATACCACGCAATTGATCTGTTTGATCATTTATTGATTATTCTCTATTAAGGCAAAAGCAAAGAAGAAAAGAAATCACAGCAAATACATAACCATGTCCAGTTACAAATCAGAAATGCAGTAAACAGGCTAAGTGCATAGATATCACTATGCAGTGATGTACTTCATTCTCTAATTAGTGGAGATTTATAAATGCAACTGATAGTTTACTATATTTTGTAAATCAATGGGAAGTAGGTACTTTAAAATTAGGTAAATCTAACTGACATCTACTGCAAAACTATAAACCAACAAGCCATAAAGTTTTGAAGAAACATCTACAACTAAAATAGTTACTGTACTGAATGATACAAACATAGATTTATTTCATGAGTAAAAAAAGAAAAGATACTGTATTAACACACATTAGACACAGTTAAGCAAACATTTTAGGGGCTTACAAAGTTATCACCAAAGTTTATCAGTAATAAAACTGTAAATTGCTTCATTAAAAAATAAAAAATATGTGCAGGAAATTGTTTAGAGTCACATCAAATTAATGAATAAAATGTCTAAACAAGTGGTTTCAGCCTATAGCATACTTTGCATATTAAATTAAAAAAACGCTCCATGCAAAAAAGTCAGTACCAGCATACATAAAACCTTAAATGATCCAATGTTTCAGTGGTAATTCCTAAAGTTTTCCCACTTCACC